GGTGTTAGTGTAGCGTGGTCAAAATTATATAGGCATTCACTTTTAAATATGTATTTTTTATTTTTTAATTCTACATCATCTTTCATATAAAATAATTTGAAAATAACTTCAGTCAAACATCGCAAATCGAAACAGACAGTTTAAATTGGGACGGAAGGAGTATTTCCTAACTCTTTGGAGTTTCTTTCAATTTCTTCCAAACTCTATTTTTACAACTAAACAAACATAGTCTTAACTTGTTAAAATTTTAAGGAAAAATTACCCAAAATAATCCCAACTTTACCCGGTCTTTCAAAAATAATCTCACCTTTCACTGTGATGCATAATAATCCCAACTTTATTGAAAATTGCCAGTTTTGGGTCGGCGTTAAGTTTCTAACGGAGGGTTAACGGAAATGCCCGTTTTAGGCAACAAAATGAAAGTTTGGATTATTTTTGATGAATTTTTGTTTTTTAATTTTTTTGAAATTTTTATTTAAATTTTTTGAATTACTTTCAACCTCCATTTCTTTTTCTTTTTTAAAGATTATTCTTACATTAGAAAAAAATAGATATAAAAATAATGAAAATGAGAAAAATAACTAAACCATACAAAATTAATCAAATAAATAATGTAATCAATAGAGATTAAACAGAAACTGGTAAGAAATAAAATAAATATATACGGAGCGGTGGGTTTTAACATTTTACACACTATACGAGTCTTAATGTATAACTTATTTTTTAAAAGAACAAGCCGTCCGGTAAAGTTGGAATTATTGTAGATATTTTTTTCTAAAAAATAAGAAGTGATATGTTAATATTTTGTATAATACGTAAAATATTAAAACCCACCCATATATTTTTATTTTACTTTTACCAATTTCAAGTTAGTTTCCATTGATTACCTTATTTATTTTATTATTTTTGTATCATTTTAGTTACATTTCTCATTTTTTTTCATTTTTTATATCTATTATTTTTATTTTTTAAACTAAGACTAATCTTTAAAAAAGAAAAAAGAAATAATGATGGAGGTAGAAAGTAATTTAAAAAAATTAAATGAAAAATTTAAAAAAAAATGAAAATTCATCAAAAATAATCCAAACTTTCATTTTGTTGCCTAAAACGGGCATTTCCGTTAACCCTCCGTTAGAAACTTAATGGTGACCCAAAACTGGCAAATTTCGGTAAAGTTGGGATTATTATGCATCACAGTGAAAGGTGAGATTATTTTTGAAAGACCGGGTAAAGTTTGGATTATTTTGGGTAATTTTTCCAAATTTTAATTAAATAATCATTTTCGGGCACTCCAAATAACCGTTTGAAATTTGAAAAAGATCATTTCCGTAGGGGGAAAAGTAACTTTTACCTGAGTGGTAATAACAAGGAGCCAGCCAGTGAAAAAAGAGATACTGCGGCGGTAAAAAGCGATAATAATGGTAACGATCCCAACGGCATAAGCGGTCCCACTGCCCACGTTCCCAAAGATGGTGATCAGCACGTGCTCCTTCATGTTAAACGGGCCCGGGTTCAGCGAGAATTCCCGCGCCCCGAATCCGGGAACCCGGAACTTCGCCGCCGGCAGCGCTGCCGCCATGAACCGCCCGATCGGGAGCGTCGCCACCTGGACGGTGATCTGCGTGATCACCAGCGGCTCCTTCCGGTAGGCGAAGAACTGGTTGAGGAAGGAGAGGAGGACGCAGGAGAAGACGCCCAGGACCCACATTCTGAAGGTCCATACGGGCTGGGTCGGGTCGTCGGTGACGGGTACGGTCAACCGGACCTGCTCTATCGGAGAGAGCTCCTCTTCGCTTACTGTTCCGGCGTCTCCCCCCGATATTTTCGGAGCCTCGATTTCCACTGTTCCCATTTTTAAAAAAAAAATTATTTTGCCGTCCGGTGGTTGGGGTGGTGGGAAAAATAGGAGCCACCGCCATTGGTTTATTTGTAGGCAAAATAATAATGTTAAGGTGGACTTTAAATGTTGGTCAACTTTCTTGTTAGGGGTGCATACAAATCAAATAAAATGTATTCGATTCGTGATTCGTATTCGAAAAGGATGATTCGTATTCGCTATATTCGAATTCGAATCCGAATACAAATTGTATTCGAATTATTTTAGAATCCGAATACCAATACTAATAGATCCTCGAATTATTTGAATATTATAATTTATAAATAAATTTATATATATTCTAATATATTAAATAGTTGTGTACATATTTTAACATATTAAATTTTTGTGTACATATAAATTTATATATATTCGAATATTATAATTTATAAATAAATTTATATATATTCTAACATATTTTCACTACATTTTACATTATTATAAAATAATAATTTAATTTCTTTAAGAAATTTTTTTTAAGAAAAAAATTACAAATAATTTAGAATTCGAATATTCAAATACGTCAAGTATCTATCGAATCGAATACTAATGTTTTTTAAAATTCGAATTATATATGAATCCGAATTTGAATACATATCACTTTAATCGAATAGTATATATTTGCTTCGATTCGATTCGTATATACCCCTACTCCCTATTAGGCTCCTCCCTTCAAAAAATAAAATTATTCATTATTTTGTTTAAAAATGTTTTACTTTTTTTTGTAGTTCTCCCTTAAAATTAAGCACTAATTAAAAAAAAAAAATCATTTTGAGAAAGAAGAGCATAAGGTTACACATGTTAGGGTACACCAAATTTTATACTGAGAATTTGATATCAAGTGTTTTACAAGTAATTATTGTGAGCGATGTGATACACAAAGAGTCATTATTTATACGTGTTTGTAAAATACCTATGCTAAATTTCTACTCCTTTAGTCTCATTTAAAATTGTCTGTTTTGGTTTACGATGTTCGACCGAAATTATTTTCAAATCATTTTATATGAAAATGATGTAGAATAAAAACTATATCAAAAGATCTACAAAATTAGTGGCAACATAATTATATTATTTTATCAAATAATTAATGAAAATAAAAAAAGAAATTGAATTAAATTTGACCATTTATTTTAAGACAAAACTATTTTTTTTTGGGTTGGGGGGCACTTGGGAGGTGCAGGTAGGGACCTGTGTCCATGTATTTTGTCAATGGGTCATAATAATGGGGAGAGAGCAATTGCAATTTGCAAATGGTCATTGGCCTACTCCCACTTGGAGTGTGTGTCCACATTATTCACTCTTTATGATAAGGTTGACGACGTTTAATCCAAACTATTTTTCATATTAAGACTATAAAATTAAGCTCTATACTTGTCATATACTCCTTGAGACTTAATGTTTCTCACATGATCTTTGAAGGGTTAAACTTTAAAAAAAGTGATTTACGATTAAAAAGGTGTTTTCAGGGTCTGTTATCTTCAACTTAAACTTACCTGATTGATTTTGATCTAATTCAATTAAGTTCTAATCCGATCAAATATCACTGTAGTTGTATTTCAAAGTGTTTTGATCTGATCTGATTAAATTCTAATAAAAACAAGTAATAAATAAAAAAAATAAGCAAAAGAGAAGAAACTCTTAATCAATTGGTCCATTTGATCATTGGTGTGCCAATATCATGACCTAAAAAGGTTGTGATTAATCCCCACTAGTATACGAAGTATTATACTTCCTCGATTCCAAAAATTATGTCTCAATTCATAATTCTAAAATAATTGAATTTTTGTTTAATTTTATATTTTTATCGATTATTTGATAAAATAAATTATTCTTATCACATCTTATTTTGAAGAATTTTTGATGTATTTTAAATATGTGAATTTTTCTTTTTATTTCTAACCAATCTTTAAATAAAATAATTAAAAAGAACTTACGTAATATGGCTAACTTTTGAGACCGAGGGAGTAAGTAGTACTATAGTAAATTCATTTGTTCAGACATTTTCTTCCAGCTACGAGTATTATTTATACAGTCAAACTTTAATCACTTTATCTATTTCTATTAACCGTTTGATAAAATAATCAAAAAGTAATAAATTGAATTAAAAATAAATTCAAACAGGTCCCATAAACAAAATTTAATTCATCTTGAGATGAAATTTTGAAATAACATATTTTATTTAAAAAATTATTTTTTAAATATAAATATTACTCCGTAACAATTACTCGGGTGAAAGAAATTAAGAAAGTGCCATAATAATGGTGACGAACTCAAGGACGTAAGTAGTTCCATTCCCAAAAGAAGTTTCCATTTTATCTAACCTCTTTTTCGGGCAATATACGGAGTAAACTGTTTTCTAATTTAGGGTGTGTTTGCTGAGAAAACAAGATATAAATTTTTAATATCTCCAAATATCAATTTTTTTTTTAGATATTTGGTGAAGCTAAAAAAACTCAAATTTGATATTTCCAGTAATCATAAATCGTTCAAATAGAAGGTTTCGATATCTCTCGAATTTGAGATATATTAATATAAGGATTTGATATCTCTTCAATCATTGACCGTTCTCCGTTCTCCATCACTGGCTACCATTTCTAAAATGTACAAAAAAAATTAATCAATATACAGCGTATTTAATTAAATATACAGAATACTCCTTAATATTACTTCACAAGAAATCTATATCAATTTATAAATAAAATAAATTTTGCACACTGTTCAAATAAGGACGATAATTTAGGAATAGAGAGTAAAAATTCCGTAGAACGGTGTAAAATCTAAGACTTCGTTTGGTACACGAAATTCAAACTATGGAATTGGAATTGAGAATTTCAATTCCAATTCTAGTATTTGGTAGCATAAAGATTATGTAGATGTTGAATTGATAGTGCAAAAAATGAATTGGAATTGATGAATTCTATGAAATTTCAATTCCAATTCCATCAATTCCATATACCAATCCTAAAAAGAAAATAAAAAACAACAGATGTTTAGAGATACAAATTACATACACATGTAAGATACAAATTACATACACATGTAAGAGTACAAGGATGCACCATTTTGCATAGCTTCGCATATACAACAATGTACAGACAGACCACAGTGTAATANACTAGGGAGTATGTTGGGATTCAGTGCGGTTACAGAACCAGTGTTATTGACGCGTGGCAGCGGATCGCAGCTCAAATGAAGGGCTGAAATCGCGACTGCATGTGCTTCAAGAACACTGGTAATGCACCACCACCCCCGCACATGAATCCGTTTGAAGCCCCATGGAATTATTAGACTATAAACCACAGTACATATATGATTTTGATACATGGAAGGAAAATCAGCGTTTTTTACTCTTTGTTTTTGTAAGTCTTGATTTACTCTGTTCATCGCGTGGTTTCCAAATCAGCTCCTCAAGATTGCCACAAAAGCTCTGGTAAAACTGTAAAAAAAAAAATAGAAGCAAAGTTACTACTTACTACCCATTATTCATTGCTTTACAATTTGACGAATCATTACTATGCTTGGTGGGAGGGGAGATTTGGAAGCGAATGGAGGGAGAGGGCACTTTTTTCTTCTAAGTTAAGAGATCTAAAATAAAATATTTGGTTTATGATAATTATGATGAAAACAACGATGATGATAATATAGAGTGATTGTGATGATTCAGTTCATACTTCATACTGATTTATTCTTGAAATATATGGTATGGTTTTAGCCTTGGGTACATAGTGGACTTAACCAAAATGACACATTAAACTTCCGTTGCATCAAGGGTCTAATGCGAACAGCATAACTGATTTTCCAGGGGTAAGGCCGCGTACATCTTGAACTCCTAGATCCAAGGGAGTTGAGAATATGTTGTGTTTGTGGTAGTATTAGTAGTTGTTCTTGTACTCCCTCCGTCCGCCATAGATCATCCCATTAACGAGGCTTGACCGACTTTATTTTCAATTCAATTTATTTGGTTGTAGGCGTACAATTTAAAAATAAAATTTATATACTCTGTAGTAAAAACTACATGAAAAGTTCTACAAAACAAGAGGTGACATGACTATTTTATTTTATAAAATGTGTATTAAAAATAAGCAAATAAATGAGTTAAGTTTGACCCTATGAATAGTGTCTGAGAAGATATATTGCAGACTCAGAGTATATATGATATGGTTTTGGAAAGAAAGTAATAATGTGAAAGGAAGCTAACCTTGTCATATTCAGTATGATCTCCAGATGCTTTCTGAATGTCCACCATGAAAAATGTTGGAGCTACTTGGAAAATCTGCACAAAAGAGCATTAAATTCAACTAAAATACATAGCGTAGTAACAAGGTTGAGATTTCAAATATGGAGTAATAATAGTTACGAACATGCCTCCAAAAATACTGAGAAGCGTGATATCTTATTGGCGGATAGACCTTCGACCCTCATCTGACAGATAGTGTGAGTTCAAATGTTACAAAAAAAAACAACCATAAGCACACGCACCATGGGAAAGACATCAATGAATTTGCTTACAAAATGCGGGTGATGGGTATATCCGTTTATATTGAGACCAACCCAAATATGTACAGTGAATTAGGCGCAACATGCTCAGTCATTTCCATAACTAATAATGTATTTATGCCCAGACCACTGAAGCCCACACATTTGGTAAGAGGATCTAGTCCACGTGAAATGGGTCAGATTAAACCAACCATAATATAGGTTAGGAGTTTGCCAAGTGACGGGCTGAGGTAGGCTTAGGGTTAGGAGGCAACTTCCAACGGTTGTGCAACCCCTTGATCTCTATAAACCCACCTCATGTATTCTTGAAATATGCAAAGGGCATATTAGTGCTTCGTCTCTCTCCTTCTATTATTTATGATCTATTATTCGGTATTTACTACGGAGTACATCATAATCTCTGATGGATTAATCATCATATGAAAAGAGGGGAAAGACAACAATGAATTAGTTTTTGAACCAATAACAAACACAATCATCAATAATACTCATTAGTCCACCTTATAGTTACGGATGTGTGTCTTGAACCCCATCGACTGGGCAACGACTTCCATAGTTGATAAGGCAACCTTTGCAGGTTTTTGTGTAAGAAAGCGTGTTTGGTGATTTGTTGAATCCTGGAAATGGTATATTCCACTAATCAATGACCAAACACAATTAATTTATATTAAGAAAGTACTATCAGAAAAATGGTAATTGTGTTACAAAAAGTGACCTCTAGATGACTTTACAGGTACAAATTGAATAACTGATACATTTCAGGGTGTTCAATACCCGTTATGCTCAACTAAGCCATTTCATCAATACCCGTTATGTTCAACTAAGCCATTTCATCAATAAAACACTAAACATGAAAATTGACCTTAAAATTCCTATATGGAAGTAATCCTCATATAGGACAATTGAAAAAGAATCTCCCCAATGAAACCACATTCATAACATGGAGATGATGAGTTCGAAATTAAAATCTCCCTCGCCCAAACAAAAAAGGGAAATGGAGAATAAAAATAACTATGTTGGATGATGCAAGCAATGTTACCAGCTTAGGCTCAAACAAGACTGAAAGGTTAAATCCTTCAGAGAGGATAATTAGATCAAATGCATTGAGAGCTAGAGGTCCAAAATCTTCATTGTTGCATTGCTCATTAAGCCCTTCTTCCTACAAAACAATATAAATCAGATCAACTTAAAAAATACTGCACTATTTTGCTATAGGAAGACCACTTAGTAGATTCTGTTTAACCAATTCCTTTTATCTAACAATATAATCACTTAACAAACAAAAGGCACGTTATTACTAGCATGCATGAGGCAACAAGTTCAAGAATGGAAAAGGTTGGTATACTCTTTGAAAATACAACCCCAATACAATCCCACAAGACAGTACGGTTTTTAGGGTGTGTGTACGCATACCTTACCCCTACTTGGAAGTAGAGAGGCTATTTCCAAGAAACCCCAGCTCAATACAAAAGCACAAATAAGGTAAACATAAAACTAAACCCAAAGCACAGAAAGCACACATGCACATGCTACAAACTTAGGCAACAAGGAAGAAACAAAGACAACAGCAAAACACTAAGACCCAAAGATCTACCCAACTACTCTACTACTAGCTCTCTAGGCACTCCTATCTAGGATCACTACATCAATGTCTTAAGCATTTTCATTCACAGTTTCACATGTTTTTGATGTTTTTGGTATAGTGATGTTTTAGCTAAATTTCGTACCAACTTTCCGTAAACCGCGTTAAAATGCATGTGCTCTAATTGTTTACATTTAGAGTGTAATCTCACATCAAGTGATATCAAAAATCAATACTAACCTCACTATCATCAAAAGCTGCATTTATGTCATCTAAATTAACATCCTCGTACTCTATGATGTTTGCTGGAACATAACCCTTCTTAAACCAATCATCATTCCTGATGTCTTCAATCCTGATGCGCTATTAAATAGAGCAAAGATGAAAATATGAAAGAGTGCACATGAAAAAGAATTAGCAAAGCTTATCAAACATTGTACTCCGAAAAAGACTATGTCTCTTTTCAAGGAGCTTTTATGGAAAAATTAACCCTGATTACTATGTCACTAGGTTCAAGTCATTCAACAACCCTTGTTGTCATATTATGACAACAAGGCCTGTAGTGCTCAGTTCAAAAAAAATTGATTGTTCCTACCCCCCTAAATCCCCTCGACAACCACCCCAGCAACCCCCCCCCCCCCACCCAAAATCTACGATTAGGGGGGTGGGGGCCACTGGGGTGGGATTAGGAAGGGTTAGGGGGATAGGAACCATCAATTTTTTCGAACAGAGCAATGTAGGTTATTGTTGTTATAATATGACACCCCTTCTTGTTGTCAAAAGAAGGGGGCCGTTAAAATAATAATCATCATCATCATTATTAACTAATAATAAGAGTGATTAATATTATTATCATTATTAATTAATAATAATAATTAATACCCCGGAGTAATAAGGATAATTATTATTATTATTTATTATCATCATACTTAATAATAACTGTAAAAATAATTACTACCTCCGTCCCAGAGTAATTGTCCAGTTTGACTTTTTCGAGTCAAACTGGACAAACTTTAAACTCCAATTACTCTCAATTTGTATTACATATTAGCATAATGAACTACAATTTTCAAAGTTCTTAATACGATAAATCCAATAAAGTAATTTTTATATTAAAATACTTTACGGTTTTTATTTAATTGAAACTCAAAGTTTGTCCAGTTTGACTCAAAAAAGTCAAACTGGACAAATACTCTGAGACGGAGGGAGTAATAATAATGATTCAAATGATTATTATTATTATTAACTAAAAATTATTATTAATAATGATAATAACAATTAATAATAATATTTACTTGTAAATATAATAATAACAATAATTATTGTTAAATAAAAATAATAGACTTTAAAATTAATTATTATTTCAATTAAAATTATAATTAATAATGATAATAATTATCATTTATGACAACACGTAATAATATTATAATTATTATTAAATATAATTATTAAAATAATAAGGATAATGATATATTAATAAATAATTACAATTATAATTATTAATAATAAAAATTATTATTGGAAATATCATTGATAATAATGATAATTCATACTCGTAATAAATTATTATTATTATAATTATTATTATTATAATTATTATTATTATTATTACTATTATTATTATTATAATAACTATTATTATCGTTACTCTAATTATTTGAATTTGAATTAAATCCATTCAGACCAGATTAGATCCATTTATATCAGATCAGATTTATTCAGATCCATTCAAATCAAATCAGATCTAAATATATCATTCAGATCCATTCAGCCTTAAAAAATTCAATTTAGATCAGATCAACCGAAGAGAATGCATCCTAACACAGGCAGCATAGTGAGCACCGAAAGCACAGAGCATGGACAACGAAAGCACAGAGCATGGACAAAGATTTATTTCTGTCCCATAAATATATCATTGCGATGTTCCATTGACTTGGCACGCTCATTAAGAAAATGATAGTGTGATTTGAAATTTTGAATTAACAAGTATTTTGAAATAGGAGAAACAATATCAACCACATAATTCTTTCATTGCTCCCTAGGTTCCTATATCAATGCGGATTTTGATGGGGTACAAGAGTTAAGAAAATGAACACTATGTGGTTGAAATTTATTTAAATGAACCGCATGCTGCTTTCCTTTGAAATAGATGTGCAATAATTTTGGGACAGATGAAAAAGTTATAAAGTGTGAAGATTATATTGAGGTAGAAATATAGAAAAAAGGGAAATGAGAAGAAAATTATGGGATGAATGGAGTACTTACTGTTTCAGGATTAGGGTCTAAAATCTTATGAATCAAAGATTTTGCTCCGACTGGGAACCGTGATGGGCAAGAAAATTCTGCTCTCTCAATCTGTAGGAAAAGAGCAATTCAGTGACAAGCAACTCAAAACAAGTTACTTCAGCAGTGTTAATACCTAATAATGCATTATGCATGTCTAGCAACTATTAATTGCTCAGTACCTTTCCATACAAAGTAGTGAGATCAACATCATCAAATGGTAGATAACCTGCTATCAGAACATAAAGAATCACACCACAAGACCACACATCCGCCAATGCCCCATTATAACCTTTATGGCTGAGAACCTGTATGAGAAATTTAAAGCGAAGCAGAAAATGTTAAAGACTGTGTGTTGTCAATAATATTATACTCCGTAGTAAATCACTAATGCATTATGCATGATGATGAGCTTTAGCTCAGCAAAATGTATGAGAATTATTACTGATGTAAGATCGTAAATAATATTGAGAGATAGGCTATATAAAACCCTTTGAATATTCAGAGTTAGATCCTTTCCCCAAGGAAGGAGTATTTAGTGGGTCAAGAGGCAATCAAGGAGCCAATCACAATCCACTCCGCTAGGAGAGACAAGTGGACTGTGGACACTTTTTTGGGAGCCTAGCAGCGCCTGCCTTGCTCCTTTCTCCAGCAGATTTGGACCTCACTTTCAGGTCGAGTTGGCCCGGCCCATTTCATGCGGGTCTTTAACCTCAACTCGACGTATGGGCTTCGCTAGTCTAGGTCTAAATACAAATAATAGCTACGGAACATGATGGAATATTAGGCCTAACCCGTTTATACATTTGGGCCAGTCCCTATCTAGCCATCACGTTGAAATATAATTCAAACAGAAGTTGGCCTCTAATTACCTCAGGTGCAACATAGTTAGGGGTTCCACATGTTGTCTTAAGAAGGGAAACACCCTGTGGATGAACATTATGTTAACAGCATATTGACTTTCATAAAATGGATGAGCAAACAAAGCTAGAGATGTTCTTTAGCGCCCTACTGGATCAGGGGAAGCACTGAGTCCAAAATCTGAAATTTTCAAATTTCCTTGGGAATCTAGCAGAAGATTTTCAGGCTGCACAAAATATAACAATAAGACCTTGCAGGAATGCATTGAAAACATATGGAATATAATCTGATATTCCGTATTTTATATGGTCTGCGACTGCACCTTTAAATCTCTATGATAAACACCCTTACTATGACAATAATCCACACCGTCAATGAGCTGTTGGAAGTATCTCCGAGACTCTGCTTCGCTTAATCGTCCCTGGTGAATCTACGAAAGGGTGGTAACATTAGGTCTTATATCTATAAATATGCTGAATTATATATAATCTTTAAGGTTGAAGGGCTCACTATTTTGTCAAAAAGTTCACCCCCTGTTATGAATTCCAAGATGATGTATATCTTGGTACGACTTGCTATTACCTGGCAGTAAATATCCTTTTTAGCCCGTAAAAAGTTTGAATCTAAGAAAAAAACAAAACACGCTCCAAAACAAAAAGAACAACCACAACCACAGTTGAATTCTATAAAAAGTAGGGTTTGGGAGAGTAAGAGTAAGCAGATATTATCCCTACTTAGGAAGCAGAGAGGTTGTTTCCAAGACACACTCCAAAACAATCAGGAAAAAACTATGAAGTGATCGGAACAGCCCCCCCCCCCCCCCCCCCGACACACACACACATTTTTGGTGAAATGTTTACAAAAGAGGACATATACTCTTGTGTTATAACTCATGCCTCGTGTAATCGAACAACGTACGGATGCCGGACAAGCTTCATAATTGATATCTCTCTCTTAATCTGCACCAAGAAGATGCAGAAAACTGTCACTAGAGGATAAAATAGTAACAACAAATCAGCACTCCATATAGTGTATAGGTTTACAACATTCATTAACAAATCACTCCCTTCCATTTTGCATCCAATAAAACCTTAAGCATTTCGTGATCACGATTGCTTACAACCAGAAAATGACAATTCTATAGGTGTGTTCTATTCTCTATAATTGTGAAATTCTATCCCAGAACTAATAAGAGAGAGGAACTCCAACTCATATTCATATATATTAATCGGGCTTTGGACATGAAACTTACTATCCTTAACATCTCCTCAAATGCAACTTGGCTGCTTTTTACTGAAGTTAAAAATATAACTGAACTTCTTTTCTTAAGGTCTTCCAAGTCTGAGCTCCGATAACATGTAGAATTATGAGATTACATCCCAAAATAAACGAAAGAGAAACTCATACTAGTGACCTTATTCTACTCCGTAGTATATTAGTACAAGTGCTGATCAGGGTAAATGTGTATAGGGTTTTTAGGAAAATCACCTGGTCCACCATCTTGTGCTTGATGATGGCGCTGCGATCGATGACTTTCATGGCGACGCTCTCGCCGGTCTCCGTGTTCTGAGCGAACTTGACCTTCGCGAATGTTCCTTCCCCAATCGTCCTCCCCACTTCATACTTCCCAACCTTCCTCACCACCATCTTTCACTTCCTCGAGCCCTATTTCTTCCGCCGATTCCCGGCCTCTGGACGCATCCGATTCCGGAAATCTCTGACGGGAGGGGGGAAATATGCAAAGTTATTCTGGCTCGAAGGTCGGCGAGTTTCTGAACTGCGGAGTGAGTATATATATGATCAGATTTTCGGGCGACTGAGAAAAGTTGATTTGATTGGAGTAGCAGGAAGAAGAAATTTACCGGGGGCAAATGAACAGAGACGACGAGGAAATGATTGGGAATTTACAGAAGTTTGGTAAAGTCGGAGAAAGAAAGAAAGAAAGAAGAGTGGAAGAGGACAGTGCTACTGGGAGTCAGTGATATGGGGTTTGAGATTATCAAATCTTCATACCAAACATTTTTTTAAATTTGGGAAATATCAAAAAGATATTAAAATTTGTAATATCTAAAATGGACCATGCTAGGGTGCCACCACATGAGTGCACTCATGGGTGCATTCATGCTTCGCACAGACAAACACAGACGATAATTGTCTGTGCGACACAGACAATTATCGTCTGTGTTTGTCTGTGTGAAGCATGGTTGCACTCATGGTAGCACTCATGTGGTGGCACCCTAGCATTTTCCATCTAAAATACTCCGTATCAAATTATGGATTAAATCCAGTTTAGATTTTAGACTTCACCAAATACCTAAAAGAAAATTTGAAAAGTGGTCTGTCTTATATTTGGTGGAGAAAGTAAATCATGAAATGTGCCTTAATTGACTATTAACCGTATAATTTTATTACACTTTCAACGAGTCAAATCCAAAGAGTTGTTTAAAGGATTCGAACCTTACTCTGTAAGGTCACCGGCAAGGCTCGCTAACTACTTTTGGGAGATGAACTCGGGCTCTGGGGACACGTGATTATACTCTCGGAAAAATAAATTTAAATAAATCGAGGTTGAACATTGAACATGTAAATTAAATCAAGTTAGGATGTCCAAACATGGTGTCATTTCCAAATTTGTAAAAAGAAACTAGATTAAGTATCAGATAAGGACTACAGATTATGTTGATAAAGCACTTAATGCGTTATGGGAAAATAATTTAAAGACTCTAAATGAAGCGTTCTCATATTGCATTTATTAAAAATAAGTCTATGATTGGTTCAATGGCTAATAGTTTAGCAGATTTGTTCGGGAAATAATCATTGACATTTTGGAAAAAATACCGTGATACTAAACATTAATGCAATGAAATAATACCAAGACCAAAAGATCAAACAACAATTTCTAAAAATAAAAAAAGAATGGCCAAAACAAAATGAGAATTTTAAAAGAAGTATTGTAAATTTTCTATTGGACCAAGTAATCATTTTATAAAAAAATATTAAAATAAAATATCATTATCAATCTTATTTTAGAGAGCTAATGATATATATTTGAAATATACAAATTGTGTGTTTTATTTTAATAACAATTTGTAAATAAAATTATTTCATAAGGATGTGATTTTGAACACTTCTGAAGTGAGATGATATTTTTGGGACAACACTTAAGTTAACATCAATTTTAACAAGATTAGAAAAATCATAAATGTTTGAATTTCGTTAATGATATACTACAATCATCCTGATTCAGTTATTTCATTTTAAACAACGTGTGAAATTCTATATCTTTTAAAATTATTTTATTTATAAATTTGTATAAAAAATTAAAAATGAAAAGTATAAATTACATATTTCAAAACTACATTAAAAAATTATTGAAAATAAGACAAAAGTAGTTTATTTTATTGAATATCAATCAATAAAGGCATACACACTCCGTCACAAAAAAAAACTCTTTGTTTTACTTAATAAGTGTATAAAAAGCAAACATATTTTGTTGAAAGTTATATAAAGGGAAAATTATGACTCACTCAAAAATTTTCAAAATTTTAAAAAATGAGTAGTGCTATTGTGGCCATAAGGTTTGTATATGAGTTCTGATCCTCACATAGTCTTAATGGAGTCATAGTTGGTTTCTTTTTTTTCTCACAAGAATCAATATATCTAATTATTTCATGTGTTAAAATCTATAAAATGAATACAGTTTTAAAAACTAGAAATAATTTTTCGTTCCAAAAAATGAAGAAAGATGTTTTTTTGTATGTCTAGAAAAGGAAAGAATAAACTTTTTTAGACGAAGAAAGGATGAATAGAAAATGTTATTGAAATTCAAAATATTAACTCAATGATAATAGAAGCATGTTAGTATAGTCGCAGGGAAGCCACTCTAAGCTTATCGATATTCAATCTTCGAGTCTTGTTTTTACACTTAAAAAATTGAGTTTATAAGTTAAAGTTATTATTCTTTCTATCATAAATTAAATTGTTTGTTTGTTGATTAAACTTCATTAAATTTCTTTCCTCATTTTCGTGTGTCATAAAAAAACAATATAATCATATCACAATTAATTTTGCAAATATTTTTTTGTAAATTTTTTTATGTTACACTATTTTTATATAGAATAATTAAAAAAACCTAAATTGAATATCACTACACAAAACAAATAATCTACTATATATATAAAAGCCCATGGAAAATCAGAGCTCAATTGCATTCCAATTTTCCCGCCAGTTTTTCCCAATCCAATGGCTGAAACAATTTTGGGACACATGTCACAAATCCATTACAACATGACCCATCACTTTATTACAATCAGGACAGGCCAAACATAATTGCAATCGATGGCCAATTTAATTCAGAAATTTCGGACCCACAGGTACATTCAGAAGAGCAATCAGGACCCGCAGCCTCTTATTTATTAAAAAGTTTCCAATATGATGAAATCAATCAATTACAAGACATGCCATGAACATGGTTCCTGCACTACACAACAAACACCCATTACAAATGGTAAAGACAACACAGTGAGACCATAGTACATAGAAAACATGCCTTCCATAAAATCGTTGTAACCCAACACACTCAATTGGGTATATAAACACCATTCCAAGGGCAGAGAAGACACCCTTCCCCTTAATTCTTTCACTACACTGATTTTCCTAAGAATTAGCCTTATAGTTTTCAAAAATGCCTGCTCTTTGGACGAGGTTGATGGATTTAAAACCATCTACCTTTTGAGCCAATCTAAAATAAAGATTGGCTCTATGCTACGATCTAATGTCCAACAGAGAAGTTTATGCACGGGAGTGTATTTTTTACGATAATGAGGTATTTTTCTTCAAGACTTTTGTGGCTAGCCACTTTTCGAAAATATATTAATACCACTGTTTGGAGCTACACTAAAGGAAGGGAAGTTATATCGAATAATTAATCCTGCAATTCTATCAAATAACAAGCCTCACATTGTTTCAATCAAGTTTAAGTTATCACTTGGTAAAAGGACAATTGTTGTTGAAATATTGAATGAACAATTCCCTAAGCATTTTTTCAGTTTCAAACCATTCAGAGAGATTAATGCGTTGGAAAGTTTTGAAAATGCTCCAATGTTTGGTAATAACCCATCTCATTTTCTTATACCCTTAAATTCCAAATACACATCAGTTCATTTTATATATCTTAGTAATATATCATATATTATTTCTTGACAGATGTAATTGGGGCACTTTTTGTTGGTGACCCTCCAATCACCAAACCAATTAATGGTAGAGAAACCCTAATCATGGATATTAGCTTAGAGGATTTGGAGTAAGTTCTTTGCCTCAGTAATTATCCAACTACCTTACTGTAAATCTGGTAATTCCTATCTAATTATGCAGGGTGAAACAAGCATGGAAAGAGGCATCATTATTGATGTAGAGGGCCATGAAGTTTTGGGATGTGATTACAAAAACAATTTAAAGAGGGATCTCTTGAATGGTTTTGAAACAGCAGAGCAAGAGCAGTTGAATAGGCGAAAAATCAAAATAAAGGTTGAAAAGGAAAGAGAGCTCTTCTACTGAAAGATTTTTCCTGTTTCAGTTTTCATTATTCAAGAGTGTGCTCAATAAGTGTTCATGCACACTGTTTTACTACGGTATTTGGATTGAATGTCAATTAGTTTGTTTTCAAACAACTCTTAAAAAACCTATCAATGTTTGGCTTGAGATATTATTTGGCTGTGTGCTTTTTGATTAAGTTCATAGGGATTTGAGGATTCTATTAATTGAAAGTTAAATTCTGGAAAACAGATTAATGTGTAGAAATCACTACTGAGCTAATGACACTATTCTGACTTTAAAAAAAACTGACATGACTATAAAATGTTTAAAAATAGGAAAAGTCCATGCTTAAATTTTTAGTTCATTAAAAATGTTCTAACAAATTGGGGCAGTGGTTGCAGTATTTGTTTAAGTTAATAAGGATTTGAGGATTCCATTATTGAATGTTAAAAACTGGATTCTAATAACATATGTACCTGTGTAGAAACAAGTGCTCTGGTAATATAAAATCTGACAGGACTTGAAATAAATTATACAATGGTAAAGAGTGAAAGCATAGTTTTGAGAACCGGACCGGGGACCGAACCGGTCAAGTTACTGGTTCACTGGTCGAACCAGTGGTTCAACTGGTCGAACCGGTGGTTTAAACATATTTAAAAATTATATAAATATAAATATAAATATATATATATATATATACACACACACACACACATTCTCATATATAAATACATAAAGAAAGTAATTTTTTGACTAAAACTATATTAACATACTTGAGTTATTTTACTAAATTAAAATATAAAATTTACATGTTAAAAATAATATAAAAATTTTATTAAAAACATATCAATGATTTTGTGTTTGACTCATAGCATATAATACTCCCTCCGTCCCCAATTTGATTACAAATTGCGGGTTACGGAGTAAAACTTCCTACTTTTTGAAATCATTTTATTTATAAATTGGTATATCAATAAGATATAAAAAGTACATATTAAAAACTACGTCAAAAGTTCTACAAAACAAGAGGTGACAAGAATATTTTATTTTATCAAATATTTAACAAAATCGCGTAAACAAACAAAAGTTATCGAGAAGAGAGAAAAAAAGATTGTAATCAATTTAGGGACGGAGGGAGTACTACTTATTACTCCCTTCGTCCCAATTTAAATCGCCTGTTTTAACTTTTGGGCATATTTAAGGAAAATAAAAAATAAAGTTGATTTTTCGAAATTGACATTATTTTTTAGGAGGGGTGATGATAAATGAGAAGATAAGGTGAAGAAGAGTGACTTATTTTAAGGGTAGTTTAGGTATTTTATTTTTAAAAGTTTACGAAAACAACTAACAGGCAACTTATTTTGGGACGGAGAAAAAAGGCAAACAGGCAATTTAAAATGGGACGAGGGAGTATATTTTTAAAATTTAAAAGTAATTTTTATACAATCTTTTTATTAATTATGAAATATTAGAAGAAATTATATGAATTTGAAACAACAAACACCGTTGGTTGGATGGTTAAGAACTTAACCAAATAGCTAAGAGGTCTTGGGATCAAACCTCCATGGAGTGAAGTTTTGGAAAAAAATTGCAAAAAAAAAAAAAACTGGTCGCACCGGTTTGGACCGGTTCGAAGCGCATTATGGTCCAATGGGCCGGACCGGACTGGTTGGACCACCGGTTCGCCGGTTCACGGTTAGAACCAGCCGGTCCGGTTCGGTTTTTAAAACTATGAGTGAAAGATTCAAGTTATAGTTCACAAAATAAAGTTGGGTTTTTGATAAAAATCAAAAGTACTTTTAGTGTGTATTCATTGAAAAATCAGACGGTACTATAAAATTTTTTAAAAAATTAAAGGTGCATAATTAAAGAAATTTATATAGCAAAAATAAATGGTTAAAGAAAATACTTAGCCAAAATTAAAGATTGTTTAAACTTTAAACTAATCACCTAATTTAAAATATGTTCAGTACCTCCATCAAAATTTGATGTCATTCAATGTATCAACTTACTGGGATTACATGACAATATATTGTTTTGGATTTAGTCAATGGTATGCCTCTTTACCCTCTTACATGAATAACCACCAACACAAACTTCCAAGTATGATTTATATACTACCACCGGTGGACACCCTTGCTCTCTATTTCTATATATATTCTAGCAATGGTGTTGCATTTAAGTCTCATATATCTTTCTTTCTTTTATAAGAGTCATATACCAGAGATCCATTATATCTACACTGAGCAGTCAAATGAAGAGTTCATTGTCCAATGGCAAAGACAGAGGGAAAAGAAAGAGATTCCATACAAACACAGGTAAAAACACTTCAATTCACACTGTATATTATTTTATGTCTTTAATTTTAGTAGGCACCTTTCATTAGGAATATATATTGATGTCTTTTTTTATTATGCACAGTTCATTAGGTATATATATTTAAAAATATTAATTTTAAATAAGTTAAATATGCATTGTGCATACAGGGGTTATCATTCAGGACATGTATACCTTTGGATTTAAGTACTTGATAAAAGCAACATTAGAATTTACTGCTTCCTTAGCCTTATTCCTTGAGATAAATCTGAAAACAGAAAAGAGTAATTGTTATTGACATATTGAGTTTTTCCTTTACTTTTCAAATTAATTTTTCATAAGAAAATATAATTACACTCACTTGCATCACAAGCAGTTTCTTTAAAAAGGATCAGGCCTGAAATATATAGTCTAAGAAGTTAGTGGTTTAAGTATTTTATGATTTTAAACAAAGCCCTCGAAAATCTTCATGAAAATTGAAAATTAAAAGTATGCAAGGCTTATGTATTCCTCTTTATGAAGTAGACATAGCTCTAAAACTTAAAACCTTCGTATGTTTCGAAAAAATGGAAGAGATAGGCTTTCAAAACTGTTTAATAATATGGAAAACAAAATACGGAAAAACACATAAATTCAATACGAATCAAGGAAGAAATACATACTGAAACATCGATCCCAAAAATTGGAATCACGAGGACATAATCCTTCGATTCCTTAGGCAGACACGTGATTCAAAACCGGTGAAAGAAGATGAAATAAGATAGAGAGCGAAGGTAACGGAACAAATGGACAGGAATGCAGCGGCGCACGCGAGATTGGGAGATTACATATTGGCGTGGAATTAGGGTCATTAGGAACGTTTTGGTCTGGGCCGGTTGCAAAGCCTATCCATGGGCCGATGATTTTGCATGGATCAGGACAATAATTATTTTTTTTGGCTAAAGCACCTCAAATCCTAAATGGGTTATAAAATTGTACTAAATTTCTTTTCAATGTGCCTCATTAATTTTTTTTATATATATAATTTTTTCTGAAAAAATGAATGTTTTCCTAAATAATAATATTATTATATGTACAGATGTACAAAATACGATGGACTTGTGTTCTTCCCAGATTCACAACCCGTTAAGTTTATCACAAACACAAATATTTTCTCTTCAAATAAATTTCTTGGATGACATTACAAACGGTTAGTTCTATACGTTGTTCTGCATTCGTTCCTAATATTTGTTCAATTTTAACTTTTTCAGTAATTTGTATTTAACCTTTTACATATTTTTTAATATAATGTATATGTTATATTAAGAAAAGTAATACTCCGTATAATATTTTGAACCAAAATTGGCATAATAATTCTAATACAAAAAATTTTTTGTACGAAATTATAATATTATTTTTAGTTTTTTTAGGTAAAACTTTGCCATTTTAAACCGAAAAAACACTAAAACTGACAAATATCCACTTGAGGCAAAGTGAATACGGAGTAGCTTTTATAAGTAATAATAATATTGAAGTTCATATACCTCTTATTTATAATACATTGTCCTAAATTCTATGGAAATATAACTTTATTTTTGTTTTTTGACTTAGCTAATTGTACCACACATCTTACACCACAGAAGAATTCAAAACAACCTAAACACGAATGCCACCATATTACCATGAGTAATTTTCTTGAAAGTGCCTGTGTTATACAGTTGTGAAAAGTTTAAAGGTTTGCTTTTTGTAATCTTGTCATGTATTTCATTACTAACCAAAGTTATCGATTTTAAAAATTACTTTGGTAAATTTCATATGACTTATATTCTGAGTTTTTCCTAAACAAGAAAGTTAGGAGGGAGACACCGTGTAGTGCGAATTCTTAATAATTTTCTCGGTGACTGTTCAGAACCTTCGATATCTCAAAATCCTGAACACCTTGATGTGACTAATATCAACATCGAAGGTTTATAATTATTTGTTCAATATACACACATTTATAACAAAACAAAAATCCAAGTATAGATTATTTTTTTCTAATACAGTGTTTTGTCATGGAACTTTGTAGGACAATCACTTTTAAATGAACTTGATGGTCAAGGGCATATGGAAACAACAACAACATTTAAAGACAATTTGAGCAATGTACCTATAACTTTTAGCATGTTAGATGATACTGGTCTACCTTCTTACAACTTTATTATAAATTAGTCTTTATTCATTTTATCTTAATGTATGTCATATAATACTAATTGACTTTCCAATTTTGCCCTTGATGTGATGGGTAAAAGTAAGATGTGATAGTTTGGTAATTAGGGAAAAAGTTTGATGTGATAGGTAGGGTATGAAAAAGTAAGGGTAAAAGTGGTTTTTTAATAGAAAGTGGAAGTGTTTTAGGGAATTCAAAAAAAACGAAAGAAGAAAAGTTTTGTGGAACAGAGAGAGTACATCTTATAATTTTCAGAATATTTTAATAATGATAATTCATCATATCAATGCGAGCATTGTGGAGCTAGGTTTTTGTATGAAGAGAGACTTAGGAGTTATGGCAAAAAATACAACACATATATCCATTGTGTTGTATAAATGGTAAGGTGGCATTACCATCTTTACTGCAAGCTCCTCAACAATTACAAGAATTATTCTTTGGAGCCACTACAAAGAGTAACATTCGTGCTTATAATAATATGTTTTTGTTTCACTTCAATGGGTGGAAAAATTGATCATTCGATGAATAATGGAGGAGGACCACCTACTTTCAGTCCGAATGGACAAAATTATCTTAAAATTGGGACATTACTACCACCAGAAGGTCAAAATCCTAGGTTTGTGCAATTATACATTTATGATACATTGAACGAGATCAATAATAGGATAAGATCTAACAAGTACATGTATAAATTAATACATTTATGATACATTGAACGAGAATGTATGATTAATTTTAAACATCCGTTCTTTACTTTACTTGATTTTAATAATAGGTATCGATCATAGTCTACTCTTAATACACATCTTTATTTTGGTAGTTATATTTAGAATTAAATAAATTTTTTACTTGTGATTAACTTTATGTCTCCGTGCATAGCACGGGTGATGCACTAGTCTACTATATATATAAAAGCCCATGAGAAATTTTTGCCAATTTCATTCCTGATTTTCCCGCCATATTTCTTCATCCAATGGCTATTAATAAATTGGATTACATGGCAGTTGCACAAAAAATCTCATTCCAAAAACATTTACAATCACTTGTGGACAAAAAATAAAAATAATACTGAGTATACAATTCACAATTCTCATCTACCGTGTAAAACCAAGCCAAGTAGTCCACAAATATACTATAAAAATGAACTGCCACTGCCCCACTTTGAATCTTCAAATTTTTCCCACATGGGTGATCCACAGATAATGACATTGCAAAGGCCACAAGTTCGGCCCAATTTCAACCCAAAATCGGCCCATGTCACTCTAATAAACCTTATTCCACATTTCAGAGCTTCAGTTATTATTATAAATACATCACCGTTCAATCTCTCAATACATCACTTTCCAAAAACCCTGATTTTTTCCTCCATCTTTCCATATCTGTGTAGATATACGCAAATATACAGCTCTTTACACACACACACCCCCCCCCCAATAATATACATATAGAGGGTTAGAGGCTCAGATTTTTATTTCCGATTTTAAGTTTGAGGCCAAAAGATAAACAAATTTGCCATGGCTGCAGCAACGAGGGAGGTTTTCGTATCCATGGATATGTATATCACACTTTTGATATGGCATTAAGCCTTACAGCAGTTTTTATAGAACTGCGTATATG